ATGGACCTTCCCTTGTTGGGGACCTTTTGGTTTTGAAATGCAGGGAAAGTAACAAGGAACTTTAGGAACTGGGTTATATTTCTGAAGAGAAACCTTCAGAGTTGGAAGAGACCCTGAGAAAACAGTGGGTTCGTCTTCCTGAGTCCAGAGAGGCTTGTATTTCAAGCATTCATAGATTACTGTTATCCAACATTGCCTTTAAAAGTTTCAAAACATGGGGACTGTGTAAGGTCTTTTGATAATGCACGATGCTGCCACACAGTCTTAGAATCGGGAAGCTCTTCGTAGGTCTGATTCAAATCTTCGTGCCGCACAGGCCTCTATTTTCTCTCCTGTCTGTTTCTGTCAGCAGACTCTTTGTGCTCTCATTTAGACATGTGTCTCCACCCTCACCCATCAATGTATTTTGATTTACTGAAATAGGAAACCAAGCACTGTGTAAGCCCAGCTGGGTCACCGTAAGTACTACTACCAACACCGGGGGCTTTGCTCTTGGGAGGTGTTATGACGCTCCCTACTCAGCTTTCTTCCTTCCAGCAGAAGACGGCCCATGTTCTCCAGTACAGTCGCGGAAAACACAGGTCCGCCATCTGCCACAGTTGTCTAAACAGACAGCGGGAGCTCTGGCCATAGAGGCTGAGCATCTGGGCAGCTGTGCCACACACTGGCTTCCTCCCGGGAGACACTTTATCCAGCCACCCAGCTGATTTCAGTGTTCCCCACCTGTCATGCACCTGTGCCCCACTTGGGTGCCGATTTGCACACACCTGGGAGCTGACTTGCTTTAATGCCAAAGCCTCCCCTTCCCAGCCAGGCATCTCAAAAAAGTGATCTATTTTCACTTTCTCCATTTCCTCACCTCCCACTCTACCACTGCAATCCTATTCCAATTAATTAGCACTCCACCAAAGGCATTCCTATCAGAGTCACGAATGCTGTCAAGCCAAATGGCTTCTTAAAAAAAAAAAACAGCTTATTTTATGTGACCTCTAAAGCAGCAGCTGGCATTAACCATTCCCTTCCTTTTGAAAAGCTTGTTTCCCTTGGCTTTTTCACGGCACACGTTCCTGGTTTTACTCCTACTTGTCAGGTGTTTCCCTCTCAGTCTCCTTTGTGGCCTCCTATCCATTCCTCAGCCTTCTCTTGAGTATTAATATCCTTGGAGTTTGGTCTTAAGCCTTCTCTTCTTTTGATGCCATGGGCGCCCCCCCCCCCCGGAAGACCCCATCCATTGCCCCATTTGTTGTTCCCATGTGTGGACTGATAATCCCAAGTCTAACCTCCTTTTCAGGCCTTGAGCTTTAGACCTATTTCCAGTTGCCTGCAAGACAACTGCAAGACTTGGCACCTCAAAGCCACCATGTCCTGAACTGAGCCCATCATTCAACCCTCACCCCCAACCCTGCTTCTCCTCTTCCTGGATTCCTTATCTCAGAGAACAGTGCCATCATACCTGTACTTCCTTAATCCTGCAATTAAGTCCAGTCAACGAGTTCTTTGCTTTTGGCACCAATGCTTCACTGACCCCTCCAGGTTCTTAACCCATACCGCTGATACTTTAGGCGTGGCCATTGTCATTGCTTGCCTGTGTAACCTGCATAAAGCTGAGCATCTTCACGTTCAGTGTCATCAGAGTTGTAACCCAAAGAAACATCATCTATGCATCCCAAAAATGCTGGAAAGCAATTTAATTTGTACAGAAGTCTTTTGACAAGGTGCTAGTCATTTATATATATCTTTTGTCTCCATCACACCTTCAACAGCCTCTTAAGTGGTCTCCTTGCCTGTAACACTGTTTCCCTCCACTTAGTTCTCTATGCAATAGCTAGAGAGATCTTTAAAAAAATTTTTTTCGTGTTTATTTTTGAGAGAGAGAAAGAGAGAGAGAGAGAGAGAGAGAGAGTGCAAGTGGGGGAGGGGCAGAGAGAGAGGGAGACACAGAATCTGAAGCAAGCTCCGAGCTGTCAGCACAGAGACCCACGAGGGGCTCGAACTCACGAACCTCGAGATCTTGACCTGAGCCAAAATCGGAAGCTTAAATGACTGAGCCAGCCTCCCCATCTACTCCCCCAAATGACTGTTTTTCTAAAGCTGAAGCTGTATAAGGAAAAAGGAAGGGAGGGCATGAGGGAAACTGAGGCTTGGAATGAAATACCATAGGGGAAATGTGATTCTGCATCCTGGTTACCAGGGCTCCTTCTCACTGGGCTGCGCTCTACATCCCCACCTGAAAGGGACGAGGTAGCTTTTTATTGTGGCAATTATGGCTAGCAAATGGCATGTGAAAAAGAACCCTTCTCATGGTGATGAGGAGCATATGTTTGCTCTATTTAGACAAAGAATTCTCTTTCGAGCATAACTTTTCCACACAGAAACAGATAAGTTGTTTAGACTTGACTGATTGCAATACTAAGTGTCCTATTTTAAGCTAAAAATATCCCACAAGTGAATCATATACGTGCATCTTCTCTTTCGTCCCCCTCCTCCATGGAAACACATTCACACCCTTCCTTTCTGCCATAAATAATGCTCCTTTTCCTTGCCTTCCACAGGATTTTGCATCATGGAAAGTTAGGTTGCTCGACGACTCGACAGCCTGATCCACTCAAATCTCTCTTAAGAATGGTTCATTCATGGGGTCAGTTTTCCAGGCCTTTCCAGGGCCTTTTCAGGCCCATTTTATTTTTGTAGTGGACTATATCTGATTACTTTCTGCATTTCTGAGGCGAGGGAGGGGCACATAGAGAAGAAGAAATCCCCCAAATAGGCACATTTTTAGTGTTTTATAGAGATGTGTATGTTTGGAGGATGGAGACGGGAAGAGATCACAGAGCTAACGACTAAAGCAAGGTTTCCAGATGATGCTTTACTTGCCTTGTGGTGCTAGGTTCCAGGGGTACAAAGCACAAAGCTACATGAATGCCCTAACCCTGGCAGATATCGCCGGCTGCCTCCCCAGCAGCGATCCTTCATCCCTTGCCAAGAGAAGCCTGGTTTTCATTTAAGAATTACGCAGCAATATGCTTAGGGAAGGGAACCCAATTCCAGAGGGTTTGAGTCCATTTTGGAGATCCCATTTCCCCTTTGCCAGTGTCCGGTGAAGGCAAGGGCACATGATTCGATTCCTGGCATCTTTCTTACCTCTGATCATCTCACTATGTGAATTCATGAGACCTTACAGTTTAAACTATTTTTATTTTTTTTTAGATTTTTTTAAAAAATGTTTATTTTATTTTTGTTTTTGAGAGAGAGAGAGAGAGAGAGAATGAGAGAATGAGTGGGGAAGTCGGACGCTCAATCGACTGAGCCACCCAGGTGCCCCAAACTATTTTTATTTTTATTTTTTTAGAGAGAGAGAGTGGGTGAGAGAGACAGAGTGAGAAGAATAGCGTGCACACCCATGGGGGAGGAGCAGAGAGACAGGGAGAGAGAGAATCCCAAGCAGGCTCAGCACTATCAGGGTAGAGCCCAATGCAGGGCTCGAACCCACCAACCGTGAGATCATGACCTGAAGCGAGATCAAGAGTGGGATGCTTAACCGACAGAGCCACCCAGGTGCCCCTGGACTATTTTTAGATACGTGTTTCATTATTTGCAGTCAAAATCACCCTCTCCGATACACTCACTAACCAATCCTAAAACTCTCAACATCTACTCTAATTCATTTGAAAAGATTAATAATCTACTTCATCGGAGTCTCAGGTTCATGGACTGTTAGAGCTCAAAAGTCCCTTTGAGGGCTGTCTAGTCTATTTCTCTCACACTGCAGACTGAGGAAGACACCCAGAGGATGCCGGAACTGTGCTGTATGCTCTATAATCTCTCTGTATGTCCAATCCTGATTGTGTACAACTGTGGTAAAATCAGAATTTTTGACTCAGATGAAAGTTACACTGAATTTTCCCTTTTGTTCTGACAAAAAGCTTTCCTAAATAAATGTAAAGTAGATCTCAGAGGGAATGTTGCCTCTACTTAAAACTTTCAAATGCCTTAAATACAGCTGTTTACATAACAAGTCATGCTTGTATATGCATTACAAAAGATTCCTTTTTAAACAATTTTTAATGTATTTATTTTTGAAAGAGTGAGACAGTGTGAGTGGGGGAGGGTCAGAGAGAGAGTGGGAGACACAGAGTCCGAAGCAGACTCCAGGCTCACGAACCGCGAGACCATAATAAGGCACCTGGGTGGCTCAGTCGGTTGAGCCTCCGACTTCGGCTCAGGTCATGATCTCACAGTTCATGAGTTCAAGCCCGGCATCGGGCTCTGTGCTGACAGCTCGGAGCCTGGAGCCTGCTTCGGATTCTGCGTCTCCCTCTCTCTCTCTGCCCCTCCCTCACTCACGCTTTGTCTCTCACTGTCTCTGAAAAATGAATAAACCTTAAAGAAAATTAAGAAAGATTTCTACAGACCTCAGTAGTCAGTGCTTTTCCAAATGTGCGTTACTGCATTATTTAAAAATAATAAAATTATGTAACTTGGAAAAGACTGACCTTTACCCTCCAATTGATTCAAATTTGAGAGCCTTTATTCTTTTTTTTTTTTTTTTTAATTTTTTTTTCAACATTTACTTATTTTGGGGACAGAGAGAGACAGAGCATGAACGGGGGAGGGGCAGAGAGAGAGGGAGACACAGAATCGGAAACAGGCTCCAGGCTCTGAGCCATCAGCCCATCAGCGGGGCTCAAACTCACGGACCGCGAGATCGTGACCTGGCTGAAGTCGGATGCTCAACCGACTGTGCCACCCAGGCGCCCCGAGAGCCTTTATTCTTATTCTTTTCTTTATTCTTATTCTTACGCCAACATTCCCCCGGGTAGTACTCCCAAGTGAGTTTATCTGAGGTGGAAAAAAGTAACACGTGGAAAGAGAAACTTCTGCTATCTGATGTTATAACAGATACACCAGGCTTCCTTTCTACCTAATTTCTGTATGAGAAAATTGTTATCCATTTCCATGATGCCAAATGGCGATAACGCTTGGAAACCAGCGGTGCCTACCTGAGTGACGTCCATTCCTGAGTCACAGCTCAGTGGCTGTGTGGAAGTCAGACCGTTTGAGCCGATTACAGTTGTGACCACAGCATTGTCATCAATTCTCCGAATCATGGTCCCATCCACAAAGTAAATGAATCCATGCCTATCAACCGTGATGCCTGGTGGGAAGAAGCAAATGAGCATTAGTAGTCTAGTGGGCCACATTTGCACCAAGATCAGTATTTTGAAAGAAGCCATAGAAACGGAAGAGCATTTTAAAGACATATGGATTCAATTTTGCTCAGCACAGCCAGGACAGTAATGGGAGAGGTTTGTTCAGACACACATTCACTTCTTTGTGTATTGAGAAGAAATGATAAAACGTAACGGGGAAATAAAGCCAGGTCTAACCATTTTGTGTTGTGTAGTTTTACATTTCTGCCCCCTAATACTTGCTTACCCCCACAAACAGAAAAAAAAATCCCCTTTAAGATAAGTGGGAAGAGACCGGGGAGGCAGCATATATTACACTTCTTTTAGCGTGCAGATGCATAGGCCACCGCTTATTTTCATGGTTGCATTAGAAATAAGTGACTTGGAAGGTATTAAAGTTATTTTCATCAATTCACACTCAGCTCACAGAGAGTCTGTAATAATTCTGATAAGCTGGACTGTGTTTTTTTCTCTATATTATCTGTTAAGAGTTTGGAAAGCAAAATTATGGTGTCACAAAGGGAATGGTCAAACTTCTAGAAAAAATGAAAGCCGATAAAATTCTCACGGTAGTTTTTACACGTTGTGTTAATTACAGCCTGGTGTTTTGGAAAATATATAATAGTGGGTAGGAGGCTTGGGTTCTAATACTGATACATCACTTACAACTCCTATGTGACTTCGGTTGTCATTTGTCTCTCCAAATTTTAACCTCCTCTTTGGTAAAGTATGGAAAAGATAATCTGCTTGTGATATTGTGATTTATAATAGGAAATACGTATTTGGCCTTCTTCCCAGTTTGTAACACAGAGCTGCTAAAACTTTGCAAATTTCTAAAGTGGCGAGAGAGACAAAGGTGTCTTTTATTACGCTAACGAGGGGACGTTTGGACTGCATCTGAAGATGGGTTGGTTGCCAGGAGAACCATTCATGAATAGAGGGTTGGTACTTTGAGTCCCACCCCCAGACCTCTGGGGAGGGGAGAGGGGCTGGGGACTGAGGTCGGTCTCCAATAGTCAATGATTTAATCAACCACACCTATGTAATAAATAAAGCCTCTATTAAAAACCCAAAAGTTCAGGCTTTGCAGAGTTTCTAGGTTGGTGAACACATGGAGATTTGAGGAGAGTGGTGTGCCTGGAGAGGGCACGGAGGCTCCACACCCTTTCGCACACACCTTGCCCTATGCGTCTCTTCCATCTTGGCTGTTCCTGAGTTATATCCTTTTGTAATAAGCCGGTGATCCCGTAAGTGAAATGTTTCTCTGAGTTCTGTGAGCCCCTCTGGCTCATTAATTGAACCCAAGGAGGGGATCATTGGAACCTCCAATCTATAGCTGGTGACAACCTGGACTTTCGGTTGGCATCTGAAGAGGGTGTGTACGTTGTGGGGGCAGTTTTGTGGGCCTGAGCCCCTCACCTGTGGGAGTGGACTTTCTCTGGGTGGATAGTGTCAGAATTGAGTGAAACTGTAGGATACTCAGCTGGTATCCGAGAACTGCTCTGCTGGTGGTGTCGGGGGACCCCCCCCCTCCCAACACTGGAAGTTGGTCTCAGAACGTTGATTACTGCCTTACCTAAGCAAAGGTGAGCAACTGTCTTAGTTTGGGATTGAGGCAGGGTTCAGTTTTAAAACTGGGACAGTCCTGGCCAAACTGGGATGAGTTGGTTACTCTTCGCCTAGGTTGTTATAAATATCATATGAAATAATACATTTAAAAAGTGTCAGACATATATAAAGAACATATGGTGTTCCTGCTTCCCTTGGTGCTTTTGACAGTGCTCTTGAAAATAACCACATGGCATTACTTTAACACTAGTCTACAATTTAGTCTTTTCTGATCTCTCCTTTATCCAGACCTTGTGGGACACAGAATGCATATTAAAGTTGGGAACATCTGTGACAACAAGCATGTCCTTTTAGTGTGTGTTCACGCACACACACACACATTCACACACCCGATCATTTTCCGGGCCAACAGTGAACTCACCTAAAGACAGTTTATAAACCCAACTTAATGAACTGCTTTCAGATGAACTAATTTGTTGGCAGGAGGTTAATGTTAGACTTGGCTTCATGGTGTACTTTGATTAATCCTGATGTTCCTCATGAAGTATTAATCCTTAGCATCTATAAAAGTTACAGATTCATTTTCACTTTCCCCGAATGCCTCTAAAGTCATGTATGTTTTTGGAGAGTTCTCCAAGGAAACCAGCATGTCCAAACAAGGGGAATTTCGTGTCAGTAAGTCCCCTTTTCAATTTTAGATGCATAAGGACCTTTCAGCAGGTTTCTAAAAGAGACTTTTAAGATTGAGCAGGTCAAAGGATGACACCACATGAACAGTTCTTCCATTTCCAGAACATGTGGACTAATGATGAACCAAGGCATACCTCTGCTTTTTATTTTTGTTTTTGTTTTGGCAAACTCAAAGCCTCCAATGCTTAGTGTTTGGTCTGCCCTGTGGCAGGCAGGCCTATGATTACCTTCTATGACCTCTGTATTAAATTATCAGTGAGTGTGAAATTTAAAATTTGGTTGTCATAAGAAGATGGGCTGAAAGATCATGACTCAAGTCTGGAGAGAGAAAGGCTGAGAGCAGTTCAGCTTGAAGTGTCTGAAATCATGAATTATTTACCAAACACATACTGAATGTCACTCTGCCAAGTTCTGTGAAGGCCAAGGGACAAAGAATCCAGGTGCACAGAAACTAAGAGCAATACCGTGGAAGTGTTGCTCCAACGAGAAGGCAGTAAATTTAGAGATTCTAACCCTTTGAAAGTTGGAACAGATTCACAAAAGGTATAGAGAAAGAAATGAATTCCTACAGGAACTAGTGTATTTGGGGAGCTCTTTATCTTGATGTGGACACCAGGGAGGACAGTTCTGTTCCTGTGACCACTACATTCCTCATCCTCATCAGAGGGTGAAGTTTGTGCTGATCCAGGGAGGATAATCCTGGACTTTACATGGTTTTCCACTTTTAGCTTTTGTTAACTTCTAAACTCTGTGAACCCCTTTCTCTCTGTTCATGTCAGCTGAGTTCCACAGATGAGGCTTATTAAATACTCACTAGTGGCCTTCGGGGCTTATTTGGCTGACTGTTTGTCGGATATTTTTCCATATATTTGTGCAGCCGTTTCTTTCATCATGGTCCAAATTCCAAAAGACTCCATTATCCTGGAGACTCTTTAATTAAATTTGATTGGGTTATATTTATGTGTGGAGTTGAAAAAGAAGTAGTAGGAAGGTCTTCGAGGAGCTGTGTGATAGATGCTTTACGAGTGCATCAGGGTACATTTTATATGTACATATTTTCATTTCTTCTCACTTTCCTTCCCCAACCAACACACACACACACACACACACACACACAGACACAGACACAGACACACACACGCAGAGATTCCCCAAACAACTAGTTTTAGAAACTCTTCACTGGTGAGGTTTAAGGGGCATTTAATTTTCACTGTGGTTAAAAACCAAACTGGAAATCCCAGGCAGGAAAAGGAATTATTTTTGCCATTACTTGGAAGGGGGTGGTCTCCCCTCCATAATGAGTATTGTTACAGCCCTGGGGTGTCAATGATGCAGTCAGCATGATCTATTACCATTTGTTAGGCTGAGTGGGAGAAGGTGGCACATGCCCAGTATATTTTAAGCTTTATTTTTTCAGAGATGGAGATGTGAATGATTTCGGAGCACATAAAGCCATCTGGGGCTAGCAAGATCTGCAGATTCAATTAACTTTCATATTTTGATATTGTTGTACCCAGATTTCCAAAATGTGGTACCTAATGTTGTGGGCAGAGTTCGTTCCAACGGCCACATCCATTGATGTGCTTACTGCCAGCATTTTCCTTACCACTGAAAACACAATGGAAGGCACAGTCTTTGTTTGGCTAAGAAAGGAATTAAACTGCATTGAGAGAACCACTTCCAGGGTTTAAAATTTTAACCACTATTCATTTCTACAGCAAGCAAAAAAAGATAGATCTTGGAGATTACCACAAGGTGAGGCAGTGGCTGGGAGTGGAGGCGGGAAGAGTACCACAGATAGCTTGAGTTCCCACCCCACCCGACCTCCAGCAAGGAAAACATCGGGCTCAGACACCCAGACAGCGTGTTTAGCTTGGAGCACATTTTTACATTTGTGAGAAAATAAATAAATCCTTGTAAATTAGTGCATATAATGAAAGCACTGACAGACCATAACCTGGAAGTGTGAATGGTGCTGTCTCCATTCATCAGCATTAAGCCCTAACAAGCTCTTTCTATGGAGGGACCTGCTCATAAATAAAGTGCATCTTGTAAAAAAATTATTCACAATGTCTTATGCAAAGTAGGGGACATTATATAATATCTGAACTGCAGGCTCTTTTCTCTGTGAAGCATAGCTCTGTATGAAACAGCTGCAAATTACAGGCGAAATTATTTGACTTCTTCCCTTGTCTTATTATCCTCCAATGAATAAATGCTATAATTCTTAAGAAGACAATTGCCTAAAGCTGGGGCAGCCTGGATAGTTACTAATAAATGTATCACCTGTTGGGGAAGAGGCACTGCTGATCAATACTGAAACAGCAGGGATTTCCTGATGTGAGGTCACGGGGAGCCCAGATGTGGAGGTTAATAGCTTGGAAATAGTAGCTAAAATCCCAAATTAGGTAACAGCAAAGATCAGAGTATTTGGCCGTGCAGAATGCCAATTTCAAACGTTGGCAGAAGGCATGTTTGTATTTAATTTATAAAAATTACAGCTGTTGAGGCCACCTACATTTTTATTATTTCTATCTTAAAAATGAATCTTCTTTTGAATATAAGCTATGGGAAGCAGTCATAAAATTCTCTCCATCTGCAGCCCTAGCAACCAGAAAACGGAAATACTAGTTTTTCCCCCTTGACACAATGTGCTCTTTAATTTTATGATACAGAGATAAATGGTTAAAATAAACTTCCAGGAAAT